AGACGGAATCTAAAACAAAAATCCAGAAAATCACATTGTATGATTTTTAAGTAATTAATTTGCATTTTATTGCGTGACATAAGTACTTGATCACCTACCAACCAGTAAGAATTCCGGCTCTCACAGACCTGTTAGTTTTTCTTTAAGAAGCCCTCCTGTTCTCCACTCATTACCTGTATTAACTGCACCTGTTTGAACTCGTTACCTGTATTAAAGACACCTGTCCACACACTCAATCAAACAGACTCCAACCTCTCCACAATGGCCAAGACCAGAGAGCTGTGTAAGGACATCAGGGATAAAATTGTAGACCTGCACAAGGCTGGGATGGGCTACAGGACAATAGGCAAGCAGCTTGGTGAGAAGGCAACAACTGTTGGCGCAATTATTAGAAAATGGAAGAAGTTCAAGATGACGGTCAATCCCCCTCGGTCTGGGGCTCCATGCAAGATCTCACCTCGTGGGGCATCAATGATCATGAGGAAGGTGAGGGATCAGCCCAGAACTACACGGCAGGACCTGGTCATTGACCTGAAGAGAGCTGGGACCACAGTCTCAAAGAAAACCATTAGTAACAAACTACGCCGTCATGGATTAAAAATCCTGCAGCGCACGCAAGGTCCCCCTGCTCAAGCCAGCGCATGTCCAGGCCCGTCTGAAGTTTGCCAATGACCATCTGGATGATCCAGAGGAGGAATGGGAGAAGGTCATGTGGTCTGATGAGACAAAAATAGAGCTTTTTGGTCTAAACTCCACTCGCCGTGTTTGGAGGAAGAAGAAGGATGAGTACGACCCCAAGAACACCATCCCAACCGTGGAGCATGGAGGTGGAAACATCATTATTTTGGGGATGCTTTTCTGCAAAGGGGACAGGACGACTGCACCGTATTGAGGGGAGGATGGATGGGGTCATGTTTCGCGAGATCTTAGCCAACAACCTCCTTCCCTCAGTAAGAGCATTGAAGATGGGTCGTGGCTGGGTCTTCCAGCATGACAACGACCCGAAACGCACAGCCAGGGCAACTAAGGAGTAAGAAGCATCTCAAGGTCCTGGAGTGGCCTAGCCAGTCTCCAGACCTGAACCCAATAGAAAATCTTTGGAGGGAGCTGAAAGTCCGTATTGCCCAGCGACAGCCCCGAAACCTGAAGGATCTGGAGAAGGTCTGTATGGAGGAGTGGGCCAAAATCCCTGCTGCAGTGTGTGCAAACCTGTTCAAGACCTACAGGAAACGTATGATCTCTGTAATTGCAAACACAGGTTTCTGTACCAAATATTAAGTTCTGCTTTTCTGATGTATCAAGTACTTATGTCATGCAATAAAATGCAAATTAATTACTTAAAAATCATACAATGTGATTTTCTGGATTTTTGTTTTAGATTCCGTCTCACAGTTGAAGTGTACCTATGATAAAAATTACAGACCTCTACATGCTTTGTAAGTAGGAAAACCTGCAAAATCGGCAGTGTATCAAATACTTGTTCTCCCCACTGTGTGTGTGTATGTGTGTATATATATATATATATATATATATATATATATATATATATATATATATATATATATATATATATATATATATATATATATAAATAAACGCAACAATTTCAGCCATTGTACTGAGTTACAGTTCATATAAGGAAATCAGTCAATTGAAATAAATAAATTAGGCCCTATTCTATGGATTTCACATGACTGGGCAGTGGTGCAGCAATGGGTGGGCCTGGGAGGGCACGTAGTCTGCGGTTGTGAGGCTGGTCTTACGTACTGCCAGATTCTCCAAAACTACGTTGGTGTGGCGGCTTATGGTCGAGAAATTAACATTCAATTCTCTGGCAACAGCTCTGGTGGACTTTCCTGCAGTCAGCATGCCAATTGCATGCTCCCTCAAAACTTGCGACCAGGGACGGCCTGTTCAATAGGGCGATATGGGCGACGCACTGCCAAACGGGAAAAGGAAGGGATTTTTTTTCTAATCAATTATATCACGGCAACAGTAGTTATTAGTGTTCACGTCTGATCTGCCAGCCACTAAATGTCAAATCAGGCTAAAGTCGTGCTTCAAATGGCCCCGCCCGTTTTTGGGGCGATTTCAGTCAAGTTGAAAATCGCCCAGAAGTCTCTCATAGCCTGTCATGTAAAATCTATTTTTTTCAAATTTCAAAGCTTTCAATACATTCTCTATGGGTGTCTGTGGGCTTGCACTTACGCGCTTTCGTCATACGTGACGTAACCATGAACGTAACTAAGACAATAGCGGCTAGCAGCGTCTCTGTTGCGACCTGCAGTGTGGCGTTATTTTATGTTTTTAATTTGTAGACTTAGTTTACAAACATTCTGCCAACCATGGATTTCCAGTGGTTGGTTTTGGACTGATCTTGTTGATCGTGTACATACCCGCTACGAACGGACTAAATAATGAAAACGCTGCTGGCAGCGGAATCCCAATACAGCTGGGAGACTTGGCTGGATGACAGAGTCCCGGACAGAGAAGTGGAGCCGGCCGGCTTCACCCTGGTCAGAGCGGACCGCGATCCTGGTAAGAGAGCGACTCTGTACCCCGACATTGAACTGCTTTCTGTGTTATTGCGACCTTACTATCTGCCCCGTGAGTTCCCCCAATTGTTTGTTACCGTTGTGTACTGTTGATAATCACAAGTTTACTGGAGAACTGAGACCAAGTAGAGACTTTGGACAGGGTGGATATGGTATAATAAAGGCAGTTTATTCAGAGGTAAAGATATCTGGAATCGCGTGCACGGACTCGTTCGTCAAACTCTTAGGGAGAAGAGAGCCCCGAAAACATTGTGTGCAGACATTTTATACAATAAATGATGTAGGTTGAATCTAGTAGTTCTGATCTTCTGATTGGTCCTGATGAGTTGGGCGAGGTCCCCTCCACTGTTGCATTGGCTCTGAGTCGGGTTCTCTGTCTTCAAATGTTCAGCCTAAAGAGAGGGGATTTTTGTGTGTGTGTTTAACAGTGATGGTGTGTGTGTGTGTGTGTTATCAGTGATGATGTGTGTGTGTGTGTGTGTGTGTGTGTGTGTGTGTGTGTGTGTGTGTGTCCTCAGAGCAAGAACTCGTGAGTTGGAAGAACTGAGAGACCTATGGCGTGGGTGTTGTCCTTGGCCACCTGCTGACAAGGCTGACAAGATAGGACTCTTTTGTCCATTGTTATAGGATAGGAACAGCATTGATTGAAAACAAACGCCCAACACAAAATGGGTCATGCACAAGATTTTAGTCAGACCAAGCTATAACATTATATATTTACTACGACAGTACATTCAACCAAAAGCTAATATAACAAAGGCATCAGAGATTATTTATAATCTGTCACAGAAACTGGAATCCATCTCCCCAGATCAGTCAATAAATGCTTCTGGTATTGACTTATATGCTGCCCCTGTCTTCATGTTGTTGCTGGACATATCTTTTTTAAAATGTGTGTAGGTCACCTAAATCATCAGAAAAATTGCCCCTCCTGAGAATTTTTTCAGGAGCCGCCACTGCTTGCGACATCTGTGTCATTGTGTTTTTTAGTGGTCATTATTGTCCCCAGCACAAGGTGCACCTGTATAATGATCATGCTGTTTAATCAGCTTCTTCATGCCACACCTGTCAGGTGGATGGATGATCTTTGCAAATGAGAAATGTTCACTAACAGGGATGTAAACAAATTTGTGCACAAAAATTGAGAGAAATTAGCTTTTTGTGCATATGGAACATTTCTGTGCTCTTTTATTTCAGCTCATGAAACATGAGACCCACACTTTACATGTTGTGTTTATATTTTTGTTCTGTGTGTGTGTGTGCGCGCGCACACACGCTACATGACAAAATATGTGGAAACCTGTTTGTCGAACATCTCATTCCAAAGTCATGGGCATTAATATGGAGTTGGTCCCCCTTTGCTGCTATAACAGCCTCCACTCTTCTGGGAAGGCTTTCCACTAGATGTTGGAACATTGCTGTGGGGACTTGCTTCCATTCAGCCACGAGTATTAGTGAGGTCTGGCACTAATGTTGGTATTTATTTTTTAATACATTTGTAAAAATGTCTAAACTTGTTTTCACATTGTCATTATGGGGTATTGTGTGTAGATTGAGATGTTTTTTTAATCCATTTTAGAATAAGGCTGTAACAAAGTGGAAAAAGTCAACGCGTCTGAATACATTCCGAATGCACTGTTACTGTTGAAAGTGAGGAACGATGAAGCAACAATGGAGAGAGAGTAATACACATGTCGCATGACATTAGGGGAAATATTATGAAAGATATATATGCGTCAGCCTACTAAACATTTACATTAAAAATCTAATTTACTAGCCTATAATTGTAAAATTGTAGGACGCATGTCCTGCACCAGTATTGCATGTTCTCTCCCAGCTTCATGGTTTGATCGAGGTGCTTAATTCCAGGATAATACAGTACAGTAGGCCTAATACAGTCCACACTCAAAAGGATTAGCCTACTGGAGCTTTTTCCATTCATTTATGGGCTTTTCTGTTTTTCTGTGGTGCGTAATGTGCTATCCATGTGCTGAATAACATTTGGGGTGTTTTGGGCTTGGGCTCATAAAATGTCTTTAGCTCAAAATATATTTTAATGTATAGCTCAGATAGCATCAGGCTTGAATTTTCATTCCGATAAAAGCTGTAATCAAATCCAGACACATTTATATGCTTTAGAATGACACTTCCGGTTTTGGTGGGAAATACTGGGTTAACCAGGAGAAAAGTGATTTATTCTCAGGATGGAACATTTAGTAAAATACCTGGAAAATATTCAACCCTACATCATGTTTTCCTAAAGTTAAATGCGCTTCGTGTTTTGTTTCCTTGCCATGATACTAACGAGTTTGAGACACTGGTAGCGTCCCGGCCCTACTTTTGGCCAAGGCCCATAGTGCACTACATAGGGAATAGGGTGCTTTTTGTGACTCAGACCAGTTAGTCAGTTTGGCTTTTTATACTTCCTCCTCTCGTGCCTCCCAGATGCCTGAGTGTGTAAATGGAGCCAACTCCCTGTGAACTGAGCCTATGCAGAATTAGACCCACACAGAGGGCAGGATCGGTTTCCTGCCTGCTCTGATGTCAGCCCAGGTAAAGACTAGGGAGGAAGGCCTGATGGATATATTCTAGTGACAACAGGATTCTCTTATAGAGAGGGATATGGAAGGCATATAATGGCCGGCAAGATGAAGCCTAGTCCTGGAATAAAAAAACGATCCCAATTGAGAATCTCCGTTACTCCAGGACTAGGCGTAATTGGTGTCTGGGAAACCGGCCTTAAGGGTATACTTAAGCGATAAGGCCCGAGGGGGTAGATGGCCAATATACCATGGCTAAGGGCTGTTTTTATGCACGATGCAACACGGAGTGCCTGTATATTAATCTACAGGCACTCCGTGTTGCCTAAAAACTGCCCTTAGCCATGGTATATTGGCCATATACAACACCCCCTCGGGCCTTATCGCTTAAGTATACCCTTAAGGCCGGTTTACCAAACACCAATTAAGCCTAGTCCTGGAGTAACGGAGATTCTCCATTGGGCTTGTTTTTATACCCTTAGCTGTCACCCGAGGTGCCTTATTACATTTACATTTACATTTACATTTTAGTAATTTAGCAGACGCTCTTATCCAGAGCGACTTACATTATGAGTGCATACATTATTTTTTTCATACTGGCCCCCCGTGGGAATCGAACCCACAACCCTGGCATTGCAAACGCCATGCTCTACCAACTGAGTTACATCCCTGCCAGCCATTCCCTCCCCTACCCTGGATGATGCTGGGCCAATTGTGCGCCGCCCCATGGGTCTCCCGGTCGCAGCCAGCTACGACAGAGCCTGGATTCGAAACAGGATCTCTAGTGGCACAGCTAGCACTGCTATGCAGTGCCTTAGACCACTGCGCCACTCGGGAGATTATTGCTATTACCAATGTAATTAGAGCAGTAAAAATACTTGTTTTGTCATACCCGTTGTATACTTTTTGATATACCACAGCTTTCAGCATTCAGGGCTCGAACCACCCAGTTTTTAATTGGTATTAGGGAGGGTGACAAAGGGTTGGTGCCAATTAGGGTTGTCAGTTATTGGAGGCCTACTTGTTGTGGGTGTTGGTTTGTGATTGAGATTGACTTGAAGACTCATGACTACAAATGAAAGTAGTCCCGGAGAAGTCTGTTTAGGGGTAAGGGGGGTAGGAGATTTCATTTTTGTGTCTTTATCCCATTTTAAAACACTCAGTAACTTATATTCTAGGTGTGGGTATACCCATATGGGTTTCACCTGCCATGAGTTTATTTACACATTTGTTTGAGTATATTTTGTTCCTTCTCTCCCTAGGCCAGGTGAACAAATCTTCCCCAAAGAAGCCTCGGAGCCGAAATATCTTCAAAGCGCTCTTCTGTTGCCTCCGAGCACAGGATGCCCCTCAGCCTCCACCCCCTGCCCAGGATACCTTACTCCCTCCTGAGGACAATGGGACGATCGCCAAGGTAACACAAACACCTGTCAACCAGCCACTCCAATGGCCCACCCCGACAAACTTCCTGAAAACAAAAGTGAAAGATGGGCTTGTTGAGTACACTGATGAGTAGCTTATAGAAAGACCTAGCATTAGTGTAGTAGACCAACTTCTGTCCAATAGGCTATATGGCTAGTAGTGATGCAATTTACATCAGAATTGGTCTTAAAAAGTGGCAAGTCCAATTAAATGTCATGTTAGAAAAATCAGAGTAAATGGAGAAGAAAGGCTAATGGAGATTTTATAACTTCTCCCTGACAGATAATAATAATAATAATAATAATAATATGCCATTTAGCAGACGCTTTTATCCAAAGCGACTTAGTCATGCGTGCATACATTTTTGTGTATGGGTGGTCCCGGGGATCGAACCCACTACCTTGGCGTTACAAGCGCCGTGCTCTACCAGCTGAGCTACAGAGGACCACAGATAAATTGGACTTCATGCTTTACATTCTTATCACTTCAGATTCAGTATGATACTGTCTGTTTTCACACTGTTCAGTACTCTAGATAAACCATGTAATTACTATATCAAATGACTGTGGCCTAATATGAATCACGATGGCTCTATTAATGTAATTAACCAACTAAAGTAGAGCTGGGCTGATCCATACAGGACAACACTAGTATTTGGGTCAGTGGGTAAGCATAACTACGTCCCAAATGGCACCCTGTTCTCTATATAGTGCAGTACTTTTTACCAGGACCCACAGGGCTCTGGTCAAAATTAAGGCACTTTTTAGGGAATAGGGTGTCATTTGGGACGCTACCCTGCAGATTAATATCTGTTACTCTCTGAATTACAGTTCCTCATTGCTTAATTACTCATGTCCCCACACCATGTTCAGATGTTAGACTGCTCACGAACATCACAAGAATTCACTCAATCCCCAATTCAGTTAAGTCTTCAGGATTTAATTGGGTGAAGATAAGAGGGTGTAGATAAATACAATTAAATGATTCCAATGCCACCGTTTTCTCGTAGTTGAAATTACCACGCTTCCCAGATCCTCCCCCTGTATTTATTTATTTATTTATTAGAACTACCGTATATTGTAGGGTGTCCAAACAAAACGCATATTTTGACCATGGGTAAAATACCTCATGTCTCTATCATAATCCGTTCAAAAGTTATTGGAGTTTTTACCCTTGTAGGATGGCCAAATCAATGGAGGCCAGAGAAAAAAGAGTGGTCAGAAGTAAGGAAAATTGCACAGCGTCACGTCAGCTAGGCTGGATGCTGTGCGAGAATGAAGGCTACTGGACATGCTCACTTTTCCGTTGAACTCGTCATCTTTCATCTCGAGTCCGCAGGATATAAAACAATATAGAGGTAAGATAGATCGATTTTGAGACATGACATGTAGTATTTTCATATTTTAGGATATGCTTTTCATATTAATGCGAAATTCTTTTTCGAAGGTTTTTCACACAAACAAGCATATCTCTGTGAAATGTCAACCAAGCACTGAGCTTACTGCAAGCTTTTTATTTTCAAAGCCTTTTACATTTAATTCATCCCGTGCCATGCTAATTTAGCTTTTTGCGACCCACGGAAACAACTTGAAGACTACCACCACAACATGTAAAATCCTCAAAAGGAGCTTGGTGCTTATTATCTGATGTATTAGGATACGAAATCCGACTTTTTGGATACTGTTAATGAAATGTTAGATAAATACCCCACTGAACGATTCAGAATATGAATAATCATATTTGTCTTGTTAAATGTATTTTATAACATAAGGAAGTGAAATTTCATCTCCAAAGTGTGTTTTCACCAACTCTGGGCATATTGGGTGGACACCCTATATATTGATGCCACTGGTTTAGTTAACATGTTGGTGAATGGGATTTTAGATGTGAGCTGTTTAGACTAAGGCTAACAGCTTAAACTCTCCCCTGTGCTAACTAAGCACCCCCTTCGACTGATGATGCGTCAACCTTTTACCAAACATTAATCTGTAACAAAAGAAACACCAATCTCTCTGTTATGTTTGACTTTATGACATAGATTAACATGACTGTGTGAACCTCACTGTTCTTCTGTTAAGTGTTCAGAGAGAGCATGGCTAGGTTTAGAATAGATGGGCACCTTGTAGGCGGCAGCACATTTAGACCAAAGAGTAAAATATTTTGGTTGCGGAAATTAAACTACTTTTCTCCCACCACTAGGCAGTATTAGGCCTGTCCTCAAGCCAATAAAATACTTTGTTGCTGATATGTAGCCTAATTCTTGCTTGTGTTCTACTAGGCACAGTTCAGAACTGTCATGGATATAGGCCTAGAATAGATGTTTGTGTTGAGCCCTGTTGGTGGGTTTGGGATGGATGAGTGGGAGTTGACTCTAGAACCTAGTTAACGGTCTTTCATCTCTCTGTTTAGCTTGATCTACTTCAAAACCTTCGCCACCAGTTTCAAGTACGTAAAGGACAATATCACTGTGGTTTTTGCGGGAGTAAAAACTATACTGAATGGGGTTAGATTAAACTGTCACATTGGGTATGACGCTCAGGCAAATGTTTGTTATAACAGTTTTTAGTTGTTATTTTGATCCATTATCTTCAGACATTTTATTTACATTTACATTTTAGTCATTTAGCAGCCACTCTTATCCAGAGCGACTTACAGTTAGTGAGTGCATACATTTTTCATACTGTTATAAACTGCTGTTATATGCTGTTGTATTTGGGATGGAAAAGGACATTAATTCAGTTTTGCAGGACAGTGCATTGTGCAATAGGATATGTGTCTTAAGTTGTTACTGTAGATGGGCCATAGGTTATTATTCTGAAACTCACATTGAACCCTTCATTCTCCAACTAAAGGGTTTTCCTAACTGGAAACATGATTCCTGTGTAGAATTGTACCAGAGGTCCCAGGTTAATAGATGATTGATTCCCTCTGGAATCTGTCATCACGTGTGGTGTGTGTCATCAGACATTTAAATCATGGGTATTCAGGTACTGCATGGGGTCTGCGAAAATTATTTGTATTTTTTAAAATTGTTATTTCAATGTTTTTATGAATATCGCTAACAGAATAAACAAAAGTTTAATTACATACCTACAGTAGAAAAGAGGAGAATATCATATTTCTAATAATGTCCACTTTATTTCTCCTACTCCTAATATTGAGCAAATTACACTCATTGAAGCCAATTACACTCACAGGAGTATCTGCCCTAGGCTTTGAAAAAGCACCCGTGAATAGGCTACCAGTGTGGCAAGCAGCTGGTAAGCTTTCTTGACTTGGACATACATTTTTGCCTACACATGGCTTACCTTTGTTTATCCAGCTAAACAGCTGCTCTTAGCGAAAATGTGTTTGGAGTTACCCTTCTAGCTAATAGGCTGTTAGTTTCCACTTCTTCCAATTATAATGTGGGGAGGTCAAAATAATGAAAAACTATTCACAATCTATTCATTTAAAAATGTTAATTACTTCTCCTTGCCATTCACGTGATAAGACAAGAAAAAATGTTTTGCTAAAGTATGATGGGGTCCCTAGGCAAGAAAAGGTTTGACACCTGGTTTAAATTCTCAGGGAAAAGTGTCACCAGGTGGCCAAACATGTTACTACAGTGCACTCTGAATATAAGAATCCTAGATATAAGAATTAACCACTTACAGTGGTTTTTAAACAGTGGGACAGAAGTATTTCTAAACTGTAGTTAACAATGGCGACTTACTTACTGGGACTGATGTGATTCTTATAGCTAATGTGATTCTTACAAGGCTGGTGCACTGTAATGTGAAAAAGAGAGGAAGATGAGTGCAACATGTAGTGGTGCAGGTTGGGTAATGTGGTTCCTTTTTGACCTCCCCACCTCTACCCTGCCTCTATCCTCTACCCTCCTCTACTCCCTACCATTCTCCCTGTCCCGCCCATCTCAGGTCCCAGAGACCAGTCTACTGCCAGAGGTAACCCCCCAGGATGAGGGCAAGATCTGTGTGGTCATTGACCTGGACGAAACGCTGGTGCACAGCTCCTTCAAGGTAGCACACACACACACACTCTTAATAAGAAACTATTGGAAAACCTTGACCTATTATCTCACCACATATCAAAGATTCAGATAAATGTTGTTTTGATCCTGTGCAGTATATAATGGCATGATCCATAGCTCTTACTTCACTTGTTTGCAACAACAAGCTGTAATCTCGTGGCTCAGTTGGTAGAGCATAGCGCTTGCAACGGCAGGGTTGTGGGTTCGATTTCCACGGGGGACCGGTATGAAAATGTATGCACTCACTACTGTAAGTCGCTCTGTATAACAGCGTCTGCTAAATGATTAAAATGTAATCATTTGATTTAAGTCCTCGTTGTTTGTGTCCGTCTCACTTGTAGATCCCCCTATAAGTCTGTGTGTCCTAGGTAGTAATGGACAGCTGTTAGCTGGATCAGGTAGCTCATTACACTGGCTGGGAGAGTGAAAGAGGAGATGATGATCCTGTAAACACATTCATCAACAAATCAATGGTCACTGGCAGACAGACCACTGTTGTACATGTCCCCCCTAGTTGACATGTTTCTCTTGATAGGGCATGATTTCGATAGGGCATCACAGCTTTTGGTGGGCAGGAGGGCTTAGTTTTTTTCCTCATTTAAAACTTGGCTTTTAGATGCGTTTTATCAGAATATATCATCTCTGTTAGCCCAGAAGTCAAATCTTGCGTCAGTTGGTCAGCTGTGTGATTAACTTCTGTTTTCATACGTGTTAGAAATTGAGAGTTCCGACAAAAACGAAGTCTCCACCCTCACAAACTCAGTCAAAGCCCCCCCCCCCCTCTTCCTGTCCGTGTGGACACACACGCAAAGCACTCAAGGCGAAGCAGTTTAAGCACCGCCTTCGCCCCATCCATTTACGTCCACATAACCAGTGACGAAACCCCCCAAAACGGAACTAATGCTGCTCAGATCTCGCGCATTCCATTCAGTCCTGGCAGATTCTCTCGGTCTACACACAGAATCTGGCAACGGGAGATTACAGAATATCTAACTTTTGTAGTTAATGTATATGTTTGTCTTTTGCATGTCACTGCAACTGGTTTTATTTGTTCTGAAAACTGTGATGGTAAATGGTTGTCCTTCTCTGATCCTGTAGCCCATCAGTAATGCTGACTTCATTGTACCTGTGGAGATTGAAGGAACAACACACCAGGTAACTAACAATGACTATGGCAATGGCATTCAGATCAACACACACGGATTGTGTGTGTATATACTGTGTGCTCCATCGGACAAATTCAAATAATCAACCTCCCTGTGGTTATGTTTAGCTATTGCAGCCCATTGAAGAAGTATAACTGCTTCTGAAATTGAACGCATTTAACGTTAATACATTAAATCAAATTTGAAATCAAAAGTAATGTGTAAATGGAACATTTGTTGTATAAATGTGTTCTCTTCCATGATCAAGATGGATATACTTAGTAGTTATTGTAGAAGTCATATCTACATATGTATCAATTGTAAAAATGTTAAAGCTGTATAGTACAGTTAAGCCAGGGGTCAGCGAGGCCTCCCTCACCCCTCTCCGGCCTCCTCGCCGTGGGACACTGGCCACAGCTCTTTGGCCTCGGCCTGATTCAAGTAATCCAGGATAGGCTGGTTCCTGCCAGCACGGCCTATTCTCGATTACTTGTTTCAGGAGGCGGCTGCCAACTTCCAACACACCCTCTGCAACGATCACACCGACAGACGCTTGGACACGTTCCCTGACCCACAGACGGAATGAATAGGAAAGAGCAGGCAGACCAAACAGGGAGGCAGGCCTCCATTGTATTCAATAAATGTTTAACCCTTTTTTTAACCTTTCTGTTCCTTTTTTTTATTTTTTTATACGTTGGCTTTATTTTATTTTATGAAATGTTGAACCAGGTTGTTGAATGGATGAAAGATGGATCCACTTGTGCTCACCAGCCTTTTTTCACTGTTGCCTTTTCAATTAGCTAACACATTAGGCTTGTTAAGCCAGGTGAGTAGACTCTGTAGCCAGTGAATAACTTTGATCAGATTGCAGATCAATAGATACTGTGGTCCTTACAGACTGGAGTTGTGTGGAGTTGCTCCAGTCAGTTAGTTAGTCCATAGACTAGTGTTCATAGATGGTCGCTGCTAGATAGCTGTACTTGATTCTCCTAGCCAGATGCTTTTAACCGTGCTGTGACGTGTCCCAGGTTTACGTCCTGAAGAGGCCACATGTAGACCAGTTCCTCCAGAGGATGGGAGAGCTGTTTGAGTGTGTTCTCTTCACTGCAAGTCTCGCAAAGGTAACATTGCTTTTTCTGTTGATTTGGAAAATTAACTGGTACTTATTCCATTTACTACCCCTGGTGGCGAGGAGATATGCCTCTTGAAAAAGTAGCAATTCCAGCAATGTTAAAGGGATACTTCGGGATTTTGGCAATGAGGCCCTTTGTCTACTTCCCCAGAGTTGGAAGAACTTGTGGATACCATTTTTATGTCTGTGCCCAGTATGAAGGAAGTTAGAGGTAGTTTTGCTAGCGCAAATGCTAACTAGCGTTGTACAATGGCTGGAAGTCTATGGGTATCTGCTAGCATGCTAGCAGATACCCATAGACTTCCAGCCATTGTGCTATAACGCTAGTTAGCAACTAACCTCAAACCGCTGCAGAGACATAAAAATGGTATCCACGAGTTTATCTGACTCTGGGGAAGCAGATAAATGGCCTCATTGCCAAAATCCCGAAGTATCCCTTTAAGTCGTCTGTACCACCCAACATACCACTCTCCCCTTACATCCTACTCTCTGTCCTACTACCTGCCTGGCCTTCTACCTTTCTGTTTCTATCTTTTTCTCTCCCTTTCACCTTCTCCTCCCGTCTCCCCTGCAGTATGCAGACCCAGTGACCGACCTTCTAGATCAGTGTGGTGTGTTCCGGACGCGTCTCTTTCGGGAGTCCTGTGTGTTCCATCAGGGCTGCTACGTCAAGGACCTGAGCCGCCTGGGCCGCCAGCTCAACAAGACCCTCATCCTGGACAACTCCCCCGCCTCCTACATCTTCCACCCTGAGAACGCTGTGAGTCCTGCTGCCCAGCCTGAGCTTTACTGTATCACCAAAGGCCTTACAGGCCTGTCCCAATGTAGAATCACTGAGGTGATCTTCCTGTTTTAAGCAAGGAGCTATTTGATCCCAACATGCCAGTTTTATTTTCTGAATGTGTGTTTTAAACTGTGGAAATCAACATTTCCCAACTGCAGTGACAGAAAAGGTTATTTCCTTCATTAATAGCCTTATTTCTCTAAAATGTCAAATGTTTTAATCTGTGTGTGTGTCCTCAGGTGCCTGTGGTGTCCTGGTTTGATGACCTGGAGGACACAGAGCTGCTGAGCCTCCTGCCCGTCTTTGAAGAGCTGAGTGAGGCGGACGACGTCTATGCCAAACTACAGCAGCTACGAGCCCCCTGACACGACACACCCCCTCTTACAAGCCAGAATCTCCCACTCCCAGCCAGACCACACCCATCAACCGACGGAAAAATCCCAAACCTTACTTACATACACACACTGTGTGCGGTGTTAGTATCCTAGACACACACTCGGCGGTGTGTTTGTTTGGCCCCTGAACTGTGTCTGGACGGCTGTCCACTGCTCCTACTATCCTCCTCAGTATGTTAGCTGGTGCTTCAAAACTGCTTTTCTGGAAACAATCCAACAAACACAATGCAAAGTGGCTCACTCTTTTCTCATTTTAAATCGGGACTCAAACACATACTAGTACTCCAATCATTTAAACCGACTGGCCAGATCGTTGTTTCTCCAAAAACGAGACTTCGATTTTATAGCACTAATTGTGACACAAAACAATTGACTCTACACACAACCTCTCTGCTTCGACAATAATCTCTGTACAAACACTTTGAAGGGGGACTCTAAAGCATTTCAAGGAAACTACAAAATCCATATAGTGATATTAATTTCCATTTCTTATTCCAAGGCCTGTATAAAGGCGGTTTTTAAGGAAGTTTCTCCTGAATGGATTGAGTCCCTCAGGAAATTCATTTTGAAAGCTGAACCCGGTGGTCTTTCTGATCCAAGGCCAGCATGACATAACTAGAAATGACATTACAGTACATGATATGACATGACCTCATTTGAGCAGACTTTACATGGGGAGCAAGGGATCACCATCTTTGTGCCTTCTGAAAAGAAAAATAAATTAAATCTGTTTTGTTTTTAAAGAAAGAAAAATTGCGTTGTTCCTTGCAGAAAATGGTTGTTCTTTTTCAATCGTTAGGTTTTTCTATACATTTTTAAGATGTCTTTTAAATGTTTGATATGGTAAGAAGTGTAGATGATTACTTTTGTAATGTCTTGGATGTTGAGGAAGAACAGCCATACGTTAACAGCCTCTGTGTATGTTGTATTTACATGAAATCCTCCATTCTCATTAGCTGAAGATAACCTAATCCTCGGCCAATAGGGACCATTACAAACCAAGGGTCACACCCGTCGCGTAAAGGCAGGGGTGTAACATAAACCCTGCCTCTTTATGCAGATTCACCCTGAGATGCATCAGGTACAGGACACTTGAGCTGATTCACCTAAACTTTTGGCACCCTCTTTAAAGAAATTCCCTTTAAATGAACAGACTGATTTAGACTATAGTTCAGTTGCAAATTTGGAGAGATTCTCTGCTGGTGTTTAGTCTGCTAAGGATGCCATATTGGATAAACCAAGGCCTTGTTTTAAATGTATTCTAATTTTGTTACATTTTGTGTGAAGCCTTCTGGGTGCCATATTTGGGTAGCGTGAGGGACTTGTGATAAGTAGGCTGCTAAGAGTGAACACAATGCATACTAGTTTACCCCCTGCCGGTTGCCCTTTATCCATAGCTTGCAAAGTCATTGCCACTCAACTTTTACTATTTTAAAATGTATCCTATTTTAGGTAAACTGTTTCGGTTTGTAAAAAACTACATTACTGAGACGTAAAAGTATGTATTTTATAAATTCTCTTTGCGTTATTGTCTGTTCTAGAAGTTCTACAGTACTCACTGACATATCTTAGGTATACACATTGTGAGGTGGCAGCGGTTTTGTGGTGGCAAAAGCTGGATTGATTTAACAAGATATGTTCTACTGCTCAGATTGTAACTGTAGGCACACACACACACATGCCCAATCCAGACTAGTCACTGTATCCCAAAGAGATTTGTTTTGTGGTTGTTTTATTCACAAGATAAAGCGCCGCCTTATGCTATTACGCTCTATGAAGTGCCTAAGGTTTCATTCTGCATTGAAAGCTTTGGAATAAAGCAGCAAGGGTCTCCATCATCATTTCTTTTTCATTTTACAATTTTACAACTGATACCCTGTCTCTAGTGTTTGTCTGATATTGAGTAATCCACAAATCGCTCTTTGCCAAGCAATCCTACTCCGCTGTTTCATTGGGATTCAAAGAAAGGGCAGTGTATTATGTTGTGGACCCCACATCCGTACTGTTAGAGAAATGTTTACTCCATGTTTCTCGTGTTCTGTAGATATTTATAAGCGTGTTAATCTCTGGTTGCATCCCAAATGGCACTCTATTCCCTATATAGTGCACGATTGGGCTCTGGTCAAAAGTTTAAAAAAACACACAAAAATGTGGTTTTATTGTCACATACACCAGATAGGAACAGTGAAATGTGTTGTTTTACAAGGTCAGCCATAGTAGTACGGTGCCCCTGGAGCAAATTAGGGTTAAGTGCCTTGCTCAAAGGCACATCGACAGATTTCTCGCATTGGCGGCTCGGGTATTCGAACCAACAACCTTTCAGTTACTGGCCCAATGCGCTAACCCTTAAGCAGTGCGCTATATAGGGAATGGAATGCCTTTTGGGACGCACAAGAATCCTCTTCTTTTGTCAGTTGAATAGGATGTTAAGTTTTGTCTTCTGGTGGTGGGACGTGGTGGAGGGTGCACAGGGTATGACCTGACTGTGTTATTGTTATGTCTGAAACACGAAAGGTAAAGTGGGGTCATAGACATCAGTATTTACCAAAGCTCAACACTTTTATTTTGTGGAGGTGGGAGTTGTAGGAGGGGAGGGGTGGGGGCACCAAATATTTACAGTACAATTTTAATTAAAGTATTCTTGCATCAGTTTCCCTTTTTTTCTAGTCGAAATAACCAGACTTGTTGCATTAATTATGCAGCACTTCACTGTCAGTAATGGTGAATAGGTAAAATAGGCCTACATGATACCTGGTATATTCAGTCAAAATGTCTGCTGACATGAAATGACTAAATGTAGTGAAAGATATTGACATTCAAATCAGAGGTGACATGTCAAACTTTAATTACAGTCATGTTATGGATCATGGTTTCAGGAGAAAGTTTGTCTATGATCGTGAGGTAATATGTAACACCTATGAAATGCATGCTATGGCCCTCAACAAATGCAACTTCAGAAATGTCCTGTGTTTGATTCAAATATAGTTTACTCTAAGTGAGAAATACAAGATTTCATGATCCCTTTAATGTTCCTATGCATCAGAATGATGCAATGATCATTGATATCATACTATTGACTTTATCTTCTCAAAGTCCTGGAGAGAAAGAATGTAAAGAACTGGAGTGTAATGTCCTTGAAATAGTTTGTCCTAAACAGTACAACTGTAAAAAAAAATTAAAATAAAGTATTGGCGACAATTTGCAAGATAATTCTTGGTACTTGGTAGTTCTTTTCTTTTTTTATATGAAATATTACAAACAAATAATGGATTGAAATATAGCTCTAAAAAGCTTTGTGTTCTCTTGTTTTGGACATTCATTATTCCTATTCTGAATGTTTTGGCATTTCCAACATATATGGAGATCTTTCTGCAATCTCTTTATTTTAAGTGTTCAGTTGGTTTACTTACTGTGTGGCTTCTTAGATGCCAACCAACGATCAGAACAAAATGGGGTGTGATTCAGAGGGTACAATCTATTGATGCCTGTATGTATATTGATCAATCTATTGAATAGATTGTCATGGTGACCAGTGTAGTATCTTCTGATAAGTGATGGAAAAAATGTCAGCAAGTAAGTTCTGTTTGGATCAAATAATTTCCCCATTTTAGATTTTTTTTGTAAACTAATCTCTTAAATGGGTTGATTGTGTGGTTGGGTCAGGATTTGTGTACCATGAACAAACTGCTGATTTTACACAGAAGCTATGCAGAAGGAGATACAGTAATACATACAGTATAAAGTAAAAATAATCAACCCACTGGCAACATACGTCTATTCCGCGTTGGTTCAATGTAATTTTGTTGAAATTACGTGGAGACAACATTGATTCAACCAGTGTGTGCCCAGTGGGAACTTTACTCTTGAAAATACGTTTTTTACAGCTATTTTTTGAAAACGTAAGATTCCTGCATTATATTTTTGGGAGCTTTTTTGGTGAACTAGCAATTCTGAAAGTTGTTTTTCAAAGATGGAATAAAAACATTGATTATAGTGCGTTTGTTTACTGTATTGTATTTATGTCCGCATCTCTAGAGAGCAGTAACACATTCATTCACCTTGCTACACACACCAAACAAACATACCCAAATCCCCAAACCTCATGTTCAATCACAAAGAGATTTACATTCCACAAACAATATAGTAGAATCAGAAAGTCAAATTCAGAGTAAGCACCCCAAATGGCACCCTTTTCCCTATATAGTACACTACTTTTGACTAGGGCCCATAATGGTTGTGGTCCAAAGTAGTGCACTATGTTGGGAATAGGGTGCCATTTGGGATCAACCAGAGGCTTTTAGGGAGAGTCATTACGTTATGACATCATAATATGTGATGTTACGAATCAGCTGTCCACTGTGTTTGGACAAAGCCCTGTCCATCAATGGCCATGTAAAAAAAAATGGAGCGTTAACTAAATTTGGGCAATAGCCAGGGCAGAGGTGGGGCTTATACTGAGATTGGATCATTCTGATCACATCCAATCAATCATAGAGGTCAGCATGAGTAAATGTGGCTCCTTCCTTGGGTGTTAACTAATCCTTTCATATTTCACTAATCTTGCCTGGGTGTGTGGTTTGTGCATTATTTCCATTCTGCAGGGTTTTCCCTGAGAACACAACAGACCACTGTTGTAGTTTTTCATGTTCCTCTGAAATTGTTTGTATCAACGGTGAGGTAGCAAACTGTGACTGACACCATGTCCAAAATACATTGGTGTGTGATGTCCTTAGTATTTTGTACACTTCTTCAACACAAGTAATTTGCCTGTCAACATTCTCAGGCTGGTAAGGGCCCCCCAGTATTTGTGCGATGCTTCCAACAAGGTTCAGAAATACACTTTTGAGTTCTTGAATAAACCTTTCAGGCTGCCTCTGTATGACTGGCATGAATCATCAGATTTCATAGAAAGCTACTTTTAGGGTGCAGCTAGATTTGTCAGTAAGGACATCCAGTGAGAGCATCCTGATGTTGAAAATCAATAACACCATTCAAAACATAATCAATGTAGAGAGAATGTCACATAGCACTGTGGCATCATGTGAGATTCTCTCCTACAGTATAGGCCTCTACTGGGGATGGCTGTTAGGACCTTCTAATGCATGATTATTATAGGCAGCAACTGCATTAGAGCATCAATTGTCCACTCTCTGTGCAGTACATAATTTAATTAAAAATCCATAGCTCTGTGGCTACCTTCCAATACAGACAGATCCATTTCCTGGCAAAGGGAGGGTTTTAACTACTCCCCCTCCCTCCCTTTCTTTCTCTCCCCCCTCCCTCACACAGTCCCACCACCACTACCACTAAAATGTATTTTCAGCCTGTGGTCTTTTGAATAGGAGTCGTGTCTGCTGTATCCTCATTTACCTGCTGGTTTGTGTATATTTCCCTTTCTCTAATCAGCGATTGGACGGAGCGATAAGAGGTCCTGGAACATGCAAACTCAGGCAAATCTCTCAGGGGACGAGGGCCAGGAGGAGAAAGAGGAGAAGAATGCTTTGATGCCCCAGTGACAGCCCTAAGTCCTCTGGTTCTCTCCTGGGGGTTGTACTGCTGTGTCCAACCTTGAATCAACGGAAGAACCATCCAAACACACACAGAGACACTTACTCCTACAAACAAGCAAGCAACTCTCTAGCTGGACACGATTGTCTTCTGTCTCCGCAGCAGCAACTCCAGGTACTGTTTGACTTGATCATATCTGCCCTCTGTGATTTCAGACAGTGGCTCACCGAGTTTCATGATGTGATTTGAGAGAAGAGAGTTAGGATGTTTTGTGGCTGGATCGATGGAGTTAATGATCAGAGGGCTGAGGCATACACATCTCTGACCATCAGAACAGTAAAATACAGTATGGCGTGAACTTTGTGAGATTGACTGAATCAAACGTATAGTAGTGGGTGTCAACAGCAACACACTGCTTTTGAATGCTGCTTCCTCTTCTTCCGACAACACCCTGTCCAAACAGTTTATGATGTAAATACATTAGTTCTGCAGTAAACCTCCAGTAATCCTGAAATGGATATGGAACTCCTTTTTAATATCCATTTCAATAACCTCTGGTGTCAGATAATGCAATTTATGGTTAAAGATTTACTCCTCCCAGGGTCCAAAACCAGGAGGTGGGCCAAGGAACTATTTTCTTTCCAACATCAGATTGAGATGGCCTGTATCTGAGAAACATGGAGTACACATTCAGAGCAGTAACCCACAATCCTGGGATTATAATCTGGCGAATCGAGGTAAAGCGGCTGTCAATCAGTATTTTTCTCCCTCTCTCTCTCTCTCTCTCTCTCTCTCTCTCTCTCTAACAGGGTGCGGCCGTCCATCCAGCTGGGATCAGGGCCTGTCTAGCACAGTGAGCTCCAGAACCAAGGATACTTCAAACAAGGGGTCATGTAAGTCTATTTGCAGTGCAGCAAGGGAGCCACATTGACCTTATAGGCTTACAGAGAGAGAGAGCAATCCCATCATTACACTCAGTTCAGTATTCCCATTCTGATTTTATTCCGAAGCACTGAGGGTAATTCTTCTGTGGGTGTAGTTTGGCCAAATGAGTATAGTTATCAATTGTGATTAGTGTGCACTCTCATACACATTTTATTTTAGAGCAAATGCTCTTATATCAACATCTCAAAAAAACAAAAACAACATTGTGCATGCAATACAGACATTACACTGTAATAAAAGCAAGAGATTGATCTTCTAGCCTACTTACCTCTCCGCCCCCTACAGCTATAAGAAGGGCGGGGTGGCGTCAGGAATGAGACACACAGAGACCAACAGTTATGACATCCAGAGACTGCTGCATGTGAAAGGGAAGAAAAGGATAAGCGCCATGGAGGTAAGAAACACATATAAGGGAAGTCATTCTGTGTAACACAACAGGAAGTGCCTCTGAAAATGCCTGACATTTTAATTGTAATACATCTGTCACAATTTCCCGCATACTGTAGGTCGAGATGAGCTGGGAAAGCTTCAATCTTGGGGATGTCTTTCTGTTGGATTCTGGTAAGACCATTATTCAGTGGAATGGACCAGAGAGCAACAGACAGGAGAGGCTCAAGGTACGGTAACGATCTGTGCAAATGCTGTTTTCAAGGAGTGCACCAACAGTAAAGTCAACCCACTGGGCACACACTGGTTGAATCAATGTTGTTTCAATGTCATTTGTCAACCTATTGTGACGTGGAATCTACATGGAAAATACATTTGGATTTTGAAAAAGTCATCAATCAGTACTGTTTTCATCTCATTTCAACCAGCGTTGTAAACATTGAAATTAGGATAAAACCTTTACTTAAATACAATGACTTAACCTGACCAACAGGTTGTTACATCAATCTAGTTTTAACATAATCATCAGAACTATGTATATGTTGAAATTGCATAAAATAAAATAAAACAGTCCATCATATAACATCATTACACCACTACATCCAGTATAATACCACCATACAACAATATTACAATGTGCATGTGTGTAGAGTGCGAGTGCTAGCGTATGCGTGTGTGCCTGTGTGTGTGTGTGTCTCTTCACAGTCCGCGTTGTTCCATAAGGTGTAGTTTTATCTGTTTTTTAAAAATCAGATTTTACTGCTTGCATGAGTTACTTGATGCAGAATAGAGTTCCATGTAGTCATGGCTCTGTGTAGTACTGTGCGTTTCCTGGAGTCTGTTCTGGACTTGGGGACTGTGAAGAGACCCCTGGTGGCATGTCTTGTGGGGTATGCATGGGTGTCTGAGCTGTGTGCTAGTCGTTTGAACAAGCAGCTCAGTGCTTTCAACATGTCCATACCTCTCACAAAGACAAGTAGTGATGCAGTCAATCTCACCTATACTTTGAGCCATGAGAGATTGACATGCATGTCATTGATGTTAGCTCTCTGTGTACATTTAAGGGTCAGCCGTACTGCTCTGTTCTGGGCCAACTGTAATTTACCTATGTCCCTCTTTGTGGCACTTGACAATATGAATGGGCAGTAGTCCAGGTGCGACAAAACTAGGGCTTATAGGACTTGTTTTATTGATAGCAATGTCAAGAAAGCAGAGCAGTGCTTTATTATGGACAGACCTCTCCCCATCATAGCTACCGTTGCATCAATATGCTTTGACCATGACAGTTTACAATCCAGGGTTACACCAAGCAATTTAGTCTCCTCAACTTGCTAAATTTCCACATTATTCATTACAAGATTTAGTTGAGGTTTAGTGAATGGTTTGTTCCAAATACAATGCTTTTAGTTTTTTAAATATTTAGTGCTAGCTTATTACTTGCCACCCATTCTAAAACTGACTGCAGATCTTTGTTAAGTGTTGCAGTGATTTCACTTGCTGTGGTAGCTGACGTGTACAGTGCCTTACAGTATTCATCCCCCTTGGCGTTTTTCCTATTTTGTTGCATTACAACCTGTAATTTAAATTTATATTTATTTGGATTTTATGTAATGGACATACACAAAATAGTCCAAATTGGTGAAGTGAAATGAAAAAAATTACTGGTTTCAAAAAATTCAAAAAAATAAATAACGGAAAATTGGTGCATGCATGTGTATTCACCCCCTTTGCTATGAAGCCCCTAAATAAGATCTGGTGCAACCAATTACATTCAGAAGTCACATAATTAGTTAAATAAAGTCCACCTGTGTGCAATCTAAGTGTCACATGATCTGTCACATGATCTCAGTATATATACACCTGTTATGAAAGGCCCCAGAGTCTGCAACACCACTAAGCAAGGGGCACCACCAAGCAAGTGGCACCATGAAGACCAATGAGCTCTCCAAACAGGTCAGGGACAAAGTTGTGGAGAAGTACAGATAAGGGTTGGGTTGTAAAAAATATCAGAAACTTTGAACATCCCACGGAGCACCATTAAATCCATTATTAAAAAATTGAAAGAATATGGCACCACAACAAACTTCTTAAAGGGCAGGCAGAGCGGGAGGTTCCTAGTGGAGAGCCAGACGCGATCACCAGGATGGAACACAGGAGCCTGACGGAGGTGGCATTCCACCTGCTCCTTCTAGCGGCAGACGGCGTGCTGGAGTCTCACGTGGGCATCATTCCAAACCTCCTCTGCACGCCTGAACCACTCGTCCACCGCAGGAGCGTCGGTCTGGCATGGAGTCCACGAAGCCAGGGTTGGCTGATATCCCAGGACACACTGGAAGAGGGTCAGCCCGGTGGAGGAGTGACGCAGTGAATTCTGGGCGTACTCCGCCCAGGGAAGGAACCGGGCCCACTCCCCCTGCCGATCCTGGCAGTGACTCCTAAGGAACCTCCCCTGCTCCTGGTTCATCCTCTCCACCTGCCCGTTGGACTGAGGCCGGAACCCGATAGTGAGGCTGACCGTGACCCTCCAGCTTCTCCATGAAGGCTTTCCATACCTGTGACGTGAATTGGGGGTCACGGTCGGAGACGATGTCCTCCGGAAGGCTATAGTGCCGGAAGACCTGCTGTAACAGTGCCTCAGCAACCGGGAGAGTGGTAGGGAGACCAGAGAGAGGGTTAAAATGGCAGGATTTAGAGAATCCACAACAACCATAATAGTAGTGAAACCATCTGAAGAGGGGAGATCAGTGATGAAATCAATGGACAGATGAGACCAAGGCCGCTGAGGCACGGGGAGGGGAAGGAGTTTCCCTGCTGGAGTGTGCCGGGTGATTTGGTTTGGGCAAATACGGAGCAGGAGTTGACGTAGCGGGCAATGTCCTGCGCCAAGGTGGGCGACCAGTACTTAGCGGGGATGGATTGAATGATGCGGGTGATACCTGGGTGTCCAGCGGCAAGGGATGTGTGCGCCCAGGTCAACAGCCGATCCCTTACCTCAGTGGGAACATAGGTGCGCTCCGGAGGACAGGTAGCAGGCGTGGGTTCCCTCTCCAGAGCCTGGCGGATGTCCACGTCTACGTCCCAAAGCACGGGGGCAACGATTCGGGAGGGCGGAACGATGGGCGCACTCAGGACAGGAACCCGAATTGTGGAGATGGGACAGGATATTGCCTTTGATGTTATTTGAACCCGGGCAGCATGACAGGGTGAAGTTGAATCTAGTGAAGAAAAGGGCCCAACTTGCTTGGCGCGGGTTCAGCCGCCTCGCTGTCCGCATGTACTCCAGGTTCCGATGGTCAGTGAGGATGAGAAATGGGTCCTTGGCACCCTCCAGCCAGTGTCTCCACTCCTCTAGTGCCAACTTCACCGCCAAGAGCTCCCGGTCGCCGACGTCATAGTTCCTCTCTGCAGGAGACAGTTTTTTAGAGTAGTATGCACATGGATAAAACGTTTGTGGTTTACCTTGGCATTGTGACAGGACAGCCCCCACACCCACTTCTGAGGTGTCCACCTCCAACACAAAGGGCAGCGTAGGATCTGGGTGTTTCAGCAACAGGGCGGAGGTGAAACGCCCTTTCAGTAGGCGGAAGGCCTCATCGGCTGCAGGACTCCACACCAACTTACGGAGGCCACCCTTGAGGAGAGGCGATGGAGCTGAAGTTCTTAATGAAGCGGCGGTAGAAGTTGGCAAACCCCAACAACCGTTGTCGTCCCTTTATGGTGGTTGGGACTGGCCATAACCTGACTGCCTCAACCTTCCTTTCATCCATAACCACTCCCTGTGGGCTGATCCGGTATCCCAAGGAGACAGCGGCCTAATGCAACTGGCACTTCTCTGCTTTGACGTACAGGTGGTTCTCCAGGAGGTCGTCCCAGGACTACCTGGAATGGGCGATGTGATCCTCCAAGGTGGCCGAGTAGATCAGGAGGTCGTCAATATACACGGCCACCTGACGCCCAAGCATGTCCCAGAACACCTCGTTCACAAATGCCTGGAACACAGATGGAGCATTGGCTAATCCATAAGGCATCACCAAATACTCGTAGTGCCCAGACATCGTGCTGAAGGCCGTTTTCCATTCATCCCCCTCCCGGATGCGGATCAGATTGTAGGCACTCCGCAGGTCCAGTTTAGTAAAAAAACGGGCCCCGTTTTTTCAATGCCGGCCGGCACCAACGCGAGAGGGTAGCGGTACTTGGTGGTGATGGAATTGAGACCTCCCTACATTGATGCACGGACGTAGACCTCCCTCCTTGGCCACGAAAAAGAAGCCTGCCGACGCAGGGGAGGTGGATGGGCGGATGAAACCCTGTTGGAGAGCCTCCTGGATGTACTCCTCCTTAGCCTTGGTTTCAGCCACCGACAGGGGGTGGACGTGGCTGCGCGGATTCGATGGCACAGTCCCAGGGGTGATGAGGAGGGAGACAGGTGGCGCGGGTCTTGGAGAAAACCTACCGGGGATCCTGGTAAGCCTCCGGGATGTCGGCCTGGAGGGCAACCACACGACTCTCAACCGACGTGGAACCACAGGGTAAGGGAAAGCAGGTCTTCCGACATCCGGGTGCCCAGGCAATGATCTCCATCCTCGACCAGGAGATGGTGGAGTCGTGACATTGGATCCACAGAGGCCGAGGATGACTTTGTGTACGGGTGCCTCGATGATGAGAAAGGGAAGGCTTTCTTGGTACAGGGGTCCCATGGTGATGGTGAGTGGTGCTGTGATGTGTGTGATTGTCTCGGATCCCAGTGGTTGACTATCCAGTGCTTGAACTGGAAAAGGAGAGGAGAGTGGGTATGAGGTGAAGTTCAGGGAGTAGGCGAGGGCCTTGTCAATGAAATTCCCAGCGGCACCGGAGTCCGCTAGAGCTGTAGAGACAACACATGTGGGACAGCCAGCCAGTGAAATTGAAACCAGAAAAGGGTTTGGTGGAAAGTGATGATGATGGAATACTCACGCCTACCCTGGGAGATGGATGATCACGGGACTATCCCTCTGCCCTCATGGTCCCCTGGTTGGGACGCGCCGGACACCATTGAAGCTGGTGCCCCTCCTGACGGCAATAGGGACAGAGCCCTAGCTGTCTCCGACGGCATCGCTCTGCCGCTGGGAAGTGTGTGGACCCTACCTCCATGGGTTCAGGCTCTGTCTCAGGACGGCCAAAGGAGGGCGAAAGATAATGGGGGTGCCCATGCTCCCGAAGTAGGTTATCCAGACGGATGGCCATCACG